CACCACCATTTTAGAAGAAGGCAAACATTCATAATATTAATTCTTCTCACCCCCAAGCCACCAAACCTTTTGTTTAATGTGACCACATCCCACTTGATCAAATGCACCTTTCTTCTTAGATCAGATCCACCCCAGAGGAAAGAGGATTTCAATTTCTCTATCTCCTTAGCTACTCTAGCAAGTACTTTTAATAGAGAAAGATAGTAAGTGGGTAAACTAGGCATGACAGATTTTATTAAGGTCAACCTTCTAGCAAAGGAGAGTAGTCTCTTCTTCCATGAGGCCAATTTCAACTTGAGCTTCTCAAGAACAGGTTTCCAGGTGCTTTTCCGGCCTGGATTTGCTTCCAAGGGCAACCCTAAGTATTTAAGAGGTAATTTATGGTGCAGACAATTAAGTCTACTAGCAAAGTTATGCAACATACCCTCCTCCACGCCAATACCACTAATTACACTCTTATGATAATTAATTTTTAAACCCGAGAATATCTCAAAGCATCTTAAAATTCTTTTGATATTCACCACTTCCTCCCAATTAGCTTCACAAATAAAATAGTATCATCCGCAAATTGTAGATGGGATATAGAAAATCCATATGGTCCCACTTGAGCTCCTTTTAAAAAACCCAACTCTTTTGCTTTAGATAATAGAATATTAAGGGCCTCAGCTACTATATTGAAAAGGAAAGGTGACAAAGGATCGCCCTGTCTTAAACCCCTTTGCGGATGGAATTCAGAGGTTGGTGAACCATTAACCATAACTGAAATCCTAGCAGAAGACACACATGCTTTGATCCATTTATCGCCAAACCCAAAATTGGAGAGCATGGAAAATAAGAAGTCCCAATTAACGGAGTCAAACGCTTTTTCAAAGTCCAATTTGAGAATAAGGCCTTTACTTTTCGATTTTCTCCACTCATCAACAATCTCATTTGCAATCAGAACCCCATCAAGTATATTCCGGCTACCCACAAAAGTTGACTAAATCTCACCAATGGTCCTAGGCATAACCAATTTCAATCTATTAGATAACACCTTGGCAAGAATTTTGTAAAGGGAACCAATCAAACTAATTGGCCTAACGTCATTGAGAGAAGAAAGGCTATCCGATTTTGGAATCAAAGCAATGAATGAGCTGCTTGTTCCACCAACAAAACATGCAATATGATGAAACTCGCTCATGAAATTGGCCACATCGGATTTCACAATGCTCCAACATTTCTTAAAGAATGCCATGTTAAATTCATCTGGCCCAGTGGCTTTATTACCCTCACAAGTCATGATAACATGTTTGATTTCCTCTTCAGTGAACTCACCCTCTAAATGAGCTACAACTTGTGCACCACCAATGTTCTTAAAGGGGCCAGATAATTTGGGTCTGGATCTCCAAGATTCAGAAAAGAGCCTGGAAAAGTGATTAAAAACTGCAGCCCGAACCTCCTTAGGCTCCTCAATCCGAGAGCCATTCACAAACAGTGAGCCCAAGGTGTTTCTACTATTTCTGCTACATGCCATGATGTGAAAAAACCTTATATTTCTCTCCCATTTTAGAGCCCAATTTTGTCTAAATTTCTGCAGCCAAATCCATTCTAACATTTTGTTCAATCTCCAAGTTTCACCCCTAATTTCCTATCTTCTACATGATTCTGTGGAAAGTAGTGGCTTTTCCTCTGCTAGCAAATCCAGAGCATGAGCTTCCTTCTCAAGGCTTTTTAACTTGGATTCAACCCTCCCAAACACCTCCAAATTCCATTATTTTAATACTTGTTTCAGAGCTTTGAATTTCATAAGACATTTATATCCTACCCACCCTTCTACATTCATCTCAAACCAGCTTTGTTTCACAAAAGGTATGAACTTTGGATAGCATTGAGAAATCTAAATGGTCGAGGGCCCCAATCTCTATCATCCTCCATCAAAATCATTGGGCAGTGATCTAATAGTTGTCTAGGAAGACCCCAGAGTTTGAGAGAAAAGTTTTGGATCTATTCATAATGGACTAGGAATCTATCAATTCTACTCCAATTATCCCTATCCTGAGAGTTGTACCAAGTGAATTTCCTCCCAAGCATGGGCATGTCCATTAGATCCATTTGTTCTACCAGGGTGTTAAAGTCCCTCATTCCTCTATCCCTACTGGAACACCTAACTCTCTCAGATAAATTCCTAATTTCATTGAAATCCCCTCTCATACGCCAAGGCCCTGGGAAATTAGATTTAAGCTTGACTAAGCTAACCTAGAGCTCTTGTCTTTTTGCCACATCATTAGGAGCATATATATTAACAATGACACAAGGAAAACTGAAGAATAATGTACCTGACATCAGCAAGAAGCTATGGTTGCAGCAGGAAGCATTAAGTTGGAAGACCTCTGGATTCCAAATGCACAACAGACCCCCAGCTCTACCAACAACATCAACTGCCATAAATTCAAATTGATCACCGGGCCACATGGATCTTATGAGACCTATGCTTGCCTTAGACTTTTTAGTCTCTTGAAGTAAGATAATATCCACTTTTCTTTCAAGAACACTTTTCTTGATCTTTCTTCTTTTCTCTGGTCTGCCAATCCCTCTTATATTCCATGACTGAATCTTTATTTAGACAAATTTACACTCTTGGTTCCCTGACAGCAGTAGCCTAGTTGGCATCCCCTACTCGAGCTCTAACTTTTTCCAGATCGTTAGCTTCCAGCTGTTGCAGTTTGCTAATAACCTCCTCATCCTTCCCTTCAAAATCAATGCCGAGAGTTTTACCCAAAACTAGGGTAACTTCCAGCTCAGACAGAGTGATCCTCCTTCTACTAGATTTGCTTGCCATTGAGAGTGAAATGGCAGCTGCTGCTGATCTAAAGACAGCCTCCTTTTGTAGGTTCAGTGTCGATTTCCCGAATCTAGAAGATCTAATATGTAGGATTTTCATTAGTCGATGCTTCTTTCTTGTTTCTTTCCTCTGCACTGGTGAGTCCCAAGATGAGAGCCATTGATGGTGGTGGGAGGATCGAAGGTGAAATTCAAACTTTTGGATTGATCAAAACTCTGTGTGGGCCTGAAAATATGGGCCGAGGGATTAATTTAGTAGTGGACCTGAAATCGACCCATGAATGTATTGGATTAGATGCGGTTTCAGTCTTGGATCACTCGGCTGTCAGCCCAAGTAGGCTAGCTCCTCTCACTGCTGGGTTTGTCCCTATAGATATATGCAACCAAATTCTTCATACTGCTCCGATAATCCAAAAGCGTAGGGGATTTGGGTCATCTTCATCCTAAGCAAACATGGGGGTTGAGTGTTACTAGCTCACCCCCAAATAGCTCTAGCGGCTCTCCTGACATACGTAGTCGATTTCTTCTGACATGCCTTTCTGCAGATCTGATTCAGCCACCACCAAAGTATCCTTGAGCTGATCATCCTCCACCATGACGTTACTGCTATCATGTGCTTCCACTGTTGCTATTCGATCCATCTCTGCTCTCTTGTCCACCTCATTGCCATCAACGATAGTTACATGATCATCCCCTTCCTCATGCTTACTCCCTCTATCTGCAATCTGATTGCCCACTTTTACAAGATTACCATTTCGGATTCCACCAAAATGCTCTTCAGATGAATTGCTGAGACCAGACATCTTCATATCTTTGATGATAATGATCTGTTCCCCACATTATTAGGCAATGATGTAAATTTATGGGGAAAGGAGGGAGGGAGTGTGGAGAGGGGTGGAAGAGTGTCGGCAGTGGGAGGGAAAGTGACAGGGGTGGTGGTGAGGGACGGCAAAAGAGGGTAGAAGAAGGGGTTGAGGGCTTTTGCAAAAGGATATGAAGAAATAAGGGCATTTTCACTATTTTCTGCAAATATTATAATTTGTAAAAAGTTCTCGCTGTTAGACTCTTTTTTTTTTTTTTTCAAATTATGCCATAAAAAATAATTTTAAAAGACTAAAAAAATTAATTATCCTAAAACTGAATAATATTTGTAAATTTTACTTATAAATCATTTGAGCATAGAACTAATCTTGTATTATTGGATTTGTGGATGATAGACAGCCAGTGCTTTATCCCCCAGAGTGATCACTCACCCAACACAACAATGCGCTTCTCAAATTTAGTGGGACCCCTCGAAGAAATTACTTTTTATGGCCATCCATTGGCTTAGCTTGCTCCAAGTTCTTATGGCCAACCACACGTACGTATTTATATTTAAAAATATAATTGTTTTTCTGAATACATAAATCGATTTTAGAATTGAATACAGAATACAAATAAACAAATAAAATTTTACATAAATTATTAGTAAAATTCATATTTAACAAATATTATCCATCCATATATACATTGATGGTGTAATTAATATCATGTCGGTTTGCAAACATTTTCCCTTATTTATAATGTAGGGGCTGATGATTAACTTCCAAAGCTATGTGAACAAGATGACCATTGTTCTATCTGTTGATGAGAGCACTGTTCCAGATCCTCATCAACTGTGTGATGATCTTGAAGAATCGCTCAAGCTCGTCAAGGATGCTGTCCAAGCACGAGGGCTCATCAACGATGATACTGTGGCACAAGATTGAAGCGGGATAAGGATCTTCTGTTATGGTTTTTATTTTTATTTGAATTTTATATTTTGGACTTTAACTTTAAATGTAGGCTGTTAGATTATCACAATAATATCATTGCAGAGAATCCTAATCAAATATCTTGACAACTGCTACCAATTTATTCAATTTGTCACAATGCAAGATTAAAAGATGAAATTATTACAAATAAAATTATTCTTGCAATTTAACACAAGGAGGAAATCACATGGGCTTATTATCCAATTTTTATATCTAAATATAATCATTTTCTATGTACTATGATTTGCAAGATGTATATGAGAGCGCTCAAAAGTTTGTGGCATTCCCTTGAGTTCGTCCAACCACAACCTAACCCCTCTCCCCCTCCTCTTTCAACACACTACCAAACCCTAATCCCAAAAAGAGAAAAAAAAAAAAATGAAAAAAATGAACTTTCCAAATTCCAAACCTAAAATCCTCATAACCTTAATCCTCTCATTTCACTTCTTCACAATTTCAACCTCCCAACAAATCCAACAACCCACAACCCCTAATCTCCAAAATGCATTACTTGATGAAGCTATTGATGATGCTATCAACAAGCCTCAAAAGAATTATAGAGCTCTATTGGAGCAACAAGAATTCCTCTCAGCTCACAACAAGGCTCGTCTCCACATCGGTGAACCTGTCTTCATATGGGACACTTCTCTAGCTCTCTTTGCCACACAATTCACTCGGCAACGTGCCGCTGATTGTGCCCTAATCCACTCCAATGGCCCATATGGCGAAAACATTTTCTGGGGGTCCGGAAACCAGTGGACCCCCACAGATGTGGTGAGGCTATGGATCAAAGAACACAAGTTTTATGACCGTACAAGTAATAGTTGCGCGAATGGGAAGATTTGTGGGCATTATACGCAAATTGTGTGGAGGGACAGCGTGCGATTGGGCTGCGCCCGTGTTCAATGCAATAGTGGTGATGTTTTCGCTATTTGTACATATAATCCACCAGGAAATTATGTCGATGAACAACCTCTTGTTGACCATCGTTCATGATGCAAGAAAGCACTTTGTTTTTTTTTTTTTTTTTTTTTTTTTTGAGAATTTAACTAAAGATGTGCATTCAAGATTAGGTTTGCAATACAAAACCTAACAACATTTAGCAAATAGGAACATGTTTCTGAATTTTTGTGAACAATTTTGTAACAAAATGATGTGATAGTAGTATTTTTGTATTTAAGAAAAATGTTGATAATGATAGGATCACAACTTAATAAGATCATTTTTTATATGTATTTTATTTTTATTTTATGAATTACATTAACGGTCAAAGTATGCAATTCATTACATTTTAGTCAACAATTTTTTTAATATATATTTTTTTTGATTGGCAACAATTTTTTTAATATACAATCTATTACATTTAATTCATGGCGTTAGTGCCGTTCAAAATTAATAATGAAAAAGGATGGAAAAAAAAAAAAAAAATAGACCTCACCAGCTAAAAGGTCCCCAATCCACCAAACACCACCACCATTACAAAACCAACAAAGTAGAGAACTCACACAAACCAACAAAAGAAGTCTGGCAGAGAAAAGAAGAAAAACAATTATTCTACTCGCATAGAAATTAATTACAAAATCAGATACAGAACATCAACTTTAATTTGCTACTACCGTCAATATATTTGACCATATCCATAGCAACAAAGTAAATAGTAATCCCAAAACAAGCTTTTATCCAAAACACAAATCGAAGTTTAATCGAGTGCATTGCGAGCTTTCCATAAGGACCAAATTACAACATAGAAAATAGTCATCCAAAATCATTTTTCAAAATCCCGAAAGGGAATATCAAACCACCAAAGAAAACAAAAGCAATATACCTACATCAAAGGAAATACAATAATATGCTCTCTCCATTTTAAAATCAATAAATTTACCACTATCATACTATCAACATTTATATCATATTGAACTATTTAATACTTAAATTTTAATTTCGAAACGAGGATCACCTCAAAAAGATAAATTAAAGACATGTCATTAACCTCAATAAAGACAAAACAGTTCAATTTTAATGAACAAAATAGACTAAAAATGATGTAGGACAAGGTAACCCTTCAAAGTTGACATATTGGGTCAAAACACCAACATTTAAGGATGGTTTGGGATGGTTTAAATAAGTACACTTTTTAATTTTTTATGAAGTATGAGTTGGGTTTGAAATAATGTGGTAAAAATGTGATGTGACTTAAATATGATAGTGATTTTTTGACTTTTTTAAGTTATGACAAGCGAGGCCTTAATATGAAATGACCCAATGACTAAAACTCATTACTTTCCTAAGGTCAAAGATTTTCGACCACAAAATATATATATATATATATACATATATATCAAAACGGATGTTTTGTAGACATGAATTATTTTCTTTTAAAAAAAAATGTGTCAACCACGTGGCTGTGACAATTACAAATTAGGATGGATATCCTTAAAGCTTTATCTTATTTTACATGATGAACGTTTTTTTTTTAGATAGGTTACATGAAGAACTTTAAAAAATGAAAGAGTAAAAATGACATTTCAAAGGTCAAAATGGCATTTCCATATTGAGAAGTTAGTTTCCGGTGTACTCGGCCACGGTTTCCACACTGTCATCAGACTCATCACCACCTCCAAATATATACAAAGAAACATTGTGTATGTCCAAATATACACAAGACAATTGTGTATGTCCTCAATTGTCTCCCAATTGTAGAAGTAGCATAGAATAGGAAAAACCTTAGAAAAATCCTCTCTCACCAACATCATCATCATCATTCTCTCATTGATGGTTCTTTTTGTTTTTGTTTCTGTTTCAATTCAAGCACTCTTTTGCTAGGTTACAAGTAGAGAGAATGGATTGGTCTCCAGTCTTCGCCAAAAATGCATATCTTGATACCCTTAAACTGGTACGTTTCTCATTTTCATCTTTCTTTCTTTTTGTTATTCAGCATTTTCATCTTTCTGTCTTTGTTTGTTTGTTTGTTTGTTTTTACACATAGATATGCTAATTTGTCTATGCATATATAAATATATTAGCTTTTGGCAATAATATGTGGGTATGATGAAGAAGGAGAATTTGAAAATGTTTTGAGGAAAGAAAAATGAAATGACTATGCAGATGAATTGTGGGTAACTGTTGAAGAGAGGCATGTGCACAGGGGTGACCCGACCTTAATGAGGCCTAAAGAAAAATCTCATGAATAAAGTACGAAAACCAAAATTATTTAAATAGTTATGAATTATGTTTTTTGGGTAAATGAATAGTGTCACACAGTTTCACTTTGTTATTTGCTTCAAACTGTAATTTTGACTTTAGATAATAGTATAGGTTTGTGTCTATAAAGAATTTTTTTAATTATTTGTATATAAAGATTGTGTATTGTGTTCTAGTTAATTTACCACCACAAAAGAAAAGAGCACATTATGATTGGTTGAAGATTCTTTAAGACATGCTTGTGGGCTTTTTTAGGATTGAAGATAGAAGATTTCTTGAGGCTCACTGTTCTCTCAATTCCAAAGGTTTCTATACATACCCTCCAAGACAATGGAGAGAGGCTAACTCTTCTTTTCTCCTTTTTGTATCCTTACAGTGCAGTAAACATGAAGAACAATGCGATTCATGTTCGACATCAGAGCCAGAGAGCAAGGAATTCATATCAGCCTTAGCCGCAGGCATGAATGCAAAGTTCATTGTTGAGGTCACACCAACAGCATCCCCATCAACAATAGCCTTAGCAGCGGCAGCACGACAAACAGGTGGCAAACTTGTCTGTATACTTCCTGAGCCAAGGCTAGGTGAGTCCCAAAAAGTCATCGACGACTCAGGCCTAAATGACATGGTAGAGTTCAAGACTGGTGACCCTGCCGAGCTCTTGTCAAGCTATGAGAACATAGATTTCTCCCTAGTCGACTGCAAGACCGACAACTACACGAATTTGCTAGAGATGTTGGATGTGAATCCGACAAGATCGATGGTGGTGGCTGACAACTTGGTGGAAGGGAGGACAGGGCTGGGAGGGCATGTGAAAGGGATGGAAAATAAAGGGAAAGTTAGGTCAACTAAACATCCTATAGGAAAAGGAATGGAGGTGACTATGATTGGGAAACTTGGTGATGAGTTTGGAAAGAAAAGTCATAGCAAAGGATGCCATTCTAGAGGGAGAGGTGGTGGTGGTGGTGGTGGTTCAGGGAAGAGAAGTGGTAAAAGCGAATGGGTTATCAAGGTTGATGAGAACAGTGGTGAGGAACATTTTTTTAGAATGCCTAAGTCTCTTTAGGGGCTTAAGAGGAAAGTGTTATATTCATACAAAATTTGTTATCAGAATGATGAGGCGATGATATTTTTGTAATTAAATGTCATCTAAATGGGCACCTTAGCTTAAAATGACAAGTCGCAATGCAGCTACATCATTTGTATATAAATTTTCCGTACTTTTTTTTGTTTATATATCACTATAATTCTGAAGATTTGATTGGTGGAAGTGAAAGAAGTGGGTTGCAATCAAGGAAGTGCTCAACATGCCACCATGAGATATTGTTATTGTGTCATACTATGTAAAGAAGTCACTAAGGTTATGTTTGGATTTTACATTTGTGGATGAATTTGTAAAGAGAGGAAAAAAAAAAAATTTAGCTTCTACGTAATTATTTTTGCCATATCCTTGTCCTTTTTCTTTCTTTTCTTTTTGTCATCTTCTTTTCTTTCTATTTTTAAATTATTTTACAAATTCGAGATTCGAATACAAGCTACGAGATTCACTGTGGGGACTCTTTTATGATTAAAAGCCATTGCATTCATCAGCAGACTAATCACCATGTAGTAGCATATCTCTCTACATAAAGGTTTCTACTGTGATCTTCTCAAAATTAAGGGGTTAGTGTTTTTTTCTGTTTTTCTTCCTATGATTGGTATGGAGAAATTCTATTTGCACACAACAAAAAATATTAGTATACTATACACTATTTGTATAAATTTCTGAACACAATTCAAATGTTCGGACATAAATTTATAAAAAAAAAAATAATTATTCAAATATATATTATATTCAATTGTTTATATTTAAACAAATGCTTTTTATTCAGAAACTTATGTATGAATATTTGACTTTTATGTGAAAACTTATAATACAAAGAAATGGGTCTTGAGTATTTGTCACCCATGAATCATATGGGTCACCAGTTTAATCCTTAATTGGCTTTTGAAGTTGTTTGATGTATAAGCCTCTAGGTCTCACTGGTGAGGTGGCCCTTCAAATCACATAAAAATTTATCATATCATATTATGCAAATGCAAGCCCACCAACCAGTTAATTTACAAGTTGTTGAAAGTTGGGAATTTTAATGCAAGTTTTGCAAATATGGCATGAAATTTTATGTGTTCATTTGGGTTGCTTTATTGGGACAAAAATAGTCACGTAAGATAAAATATGTTATTTTAACTAAGACCTAGTTTGGCATGTACTAAATAAGCCAAAAAGTCAAAAAGTCACTATCTTATTTAAGTCACACCATCTTATTTAAATCACATCACCTCTCTAACACATCACATCAAACCCAACCCAAACCCACCAATAAGTCAAAAAGTACACTTTTTTAGGACATCCCAAACCAACCCTAAATAAGACAAAATGTCACATCCAACTCATAATCATTTCATTTTTTCTCACAAAAGTTAAAAAGCCTATCACAAACGAGACTTTTTAACCGCAGGCTAAAATAGCTAAAAAATCAAAATGCCAACATACATCCCAAACGAGCTTTGTCTTAAAACATTCACATCTATTTAATTATATATTAAAACTATTATATTTCAAAATGTTCAATAATTTAAAAATTATGAATCTTTTGAGACATGAGAACTCGAAGATTTGGGGAGGGGATCCTTATCACGCAAAATTGAATCCTTCAACTGTGTGGACTAGAGGTTGCTTTGGAGGTTCATCGTGGATTTCTGTTCGGCAATTTGAATCGTTCATTCTATAAGATTTCAAATGTAGATAATTCATAATTATATTGATCCAATAATTATTGTTACATGATTTCTTTATATTTATTTTCAAAAAATAGACAAATAGAATTTTAGAAAGTATCCAATTTTATAGACAAGTATAAAAGAAAATTATATAATCATGAATATTAGTTCAAAATGAATAGAACATTTTAGAGTGGAGTTGTGGTGGGCTCACGAATCCCAACACCTTTTTATTCTGAAAAATTATTGTTTAGTTTAGGAACAACACTATATACCACGTCGTTTATGAACACCATCCCAATATCATGTTAGTGAGAGCAGTGACACATTATTGTCAATTCGTCAGACCATCCACCAATATAAAATTGTTAAAGTACTGGCTGGCTTGGTCGTGAACCAACAGATAACTACTCATCTTATCCATATTTTTAATCTAATTTTAAAAAAAAAATTAAATAAATTACATAGGAGAGAGACTAATAGGGCGGTTGTTGTATAAATTACACTTTGCTTCCTCTATGTTTAGTTATTTTTTCCCTTTGGTCTTTAAATTTTTTTTTTTTTTTTGTCTTCAACTCTTCATATTTCAAGTTTTTCTCAATTCCTATACAAAATTAAATGTCATGTTAGTTGCCACATAATATATAAAAAAAAAAATTATTATATGTGAGTTATATATAATTAAAAAAAAATCATAGCACATAGTTGTCAATATGTCATTTTCTATCTAATTTTAAACAAGTTAGTTTTAGAAATAAATTAAAAATAATTTGAAACATGAAGGACCAAAATGAAAAATAAATAAATTTGAGGACTAAAGTGCAAAAATACGAAACATGGAGGGACAAAAGTGTAATTTACCCAAGTGGCTGTTAATGTGTTAGTTGTAAGGATTTGGCGGGAGGGAGGGATAATTACCCGCCACCTCCAACCACCGATCAATCATCACACATTCTCACACACACTTACTCTCACACAATCTTCAACTTCAAGAAACTAACACCTCTCACCAACCACTTCCAATCCAATAATGGCCTTCTTCACACTTGTTCCTGACCACTCAGTCTCTCAAACCCTGGATCCTTTGCTTCTCTTCCAATGGAGGGTTCAGCAAGATTTAGAATTTCACATCTGGGTTTTGCATTGGTGGCTCTTCTTTCAGCCCTGGCTCTTTCATCCACCGTCGCCGACGACAATGGCGGCGCAATCGATGAAATTGCGGCTCGGTGTAACCTAGATCTATCCACCTTTATGCCTCTTCCGTACAGTGACACCTCTAATATGGTCTGTAAACCTGTTTGGAATACTTATGTTCTTCAGGTAAATTCTATCTTGTTCTTCAATTTTCTTGCCCTAATTGTATATCTTGAATATATATATATATAGATAGATAGGCAGATGAATTCAGCTTGAGTTCAAGTGTCCAACAAACTCTGATTTTGGGTTTTTGTAAGTAGCTATGTTGATTGATAAGGAATGTCTTCTTAAATTTTGTAGATTAGATTATTAATTCTTGGTGTTAGTAGAAATTGATACTATCTTTTGAATTTTCTCGGTTGTATATGCTTTTACCCTAAAAAAAATTGAATGCTGGATTGTTCCCAGTCCACCAAGCAGTTGATTTAATCTAAGTGGATGTTTGAGAATTGGCGCTTTTTAGTGGCTTTTTTGCTTTTTACAAAAAAACGTGCAGAAAAATAGAGAGAATAATTTGAGAATTTGTGGTGGCTTTTTGGCTAAAATATCTAGTTCCCAAACAAGTTCTTAACTTGGAGTAAAACATTGTGTATTATTAGCCATACTTATTATTCTTAGAATCTTATTGTTAGTGTCGAATGGCCTGAACTGCATCGATCAGGGTTCATCCACCACATCCGAAGTGAACAACGTGACCCATCTGAAGTGAACAACCATTAATTATAAGGGACTTTATGACATAGAGAAGAGGGCGATTATATCTACATCAAAACTTGACTGATCTAACTTGCATAGCAGCTACTGCTTCTCTAACCACTTCCCTAGTTTGATTGAATGGATAAAGAAAGCCCTGGACCACATTAACAAGTTCTTAACGGGGAGTAAAACATTGTGTATTACTGGCCATACTTCTTATTATTCTTATTGTTAGTGTTGAATTTTGGAATTATGGCTAATAACCATATGCAGAATTTTTTATTTAAAAAAAAAATGCCATATTCAACAGCACACATAATTTTTATACAGAGCAGCATCACAACATTCCTTGTGATAAATCTGTAGGAGCTGATAGAATCCCCTCCAAAAAGTTTCCACAACAGACCAAGCCATATTACTAGAATAATTCCTGGTTTCTAAATCAATTGAAAATTTGTCCAAGTATGACTATTATTTGAGCCGCCCCAGAAAAAAATATAAGCAAAGGTAAATAAATCCTGAATGGCAATCATGTTTCATGGACCAAAAAACTTTTTTATTTTTTTCTTCAGTGAGTGCATTATGAAACTTACTTACATTGATCATATTGTATTATAATTTTTTCCCTGAAATTACGTACTTTCTCTTGTAGTACTCCCAAAGTAAAGATCATGTTGTCACCATTGTACTATCTGCTGCATATACCACTGGATGGGTAGGAATGGCATTTTCGAAAAATGGGATGATGCTTAATTCCAGTGCCATGGCGGGATGGATTAATAAAGAAGGCCAAGCAAATGCCAAGCAATATTATTTGAAGGGATTTGAGCGATTAGATGTTGTACCAGATAAGGGTGAACTACCACTAACTAAAGTTCCACCATTTGTTGCGGTTCGTGGAGCTACGATCTACATAGCATTTCAGCTGAAATTTGCTGCTCGTCTCACTCACCAACCAATTTTATTGGCTTTTGGGAGTAGATATCCAACAAAGCATCACCACCTACATAAACATGATGACAAAACATCCATAATGTTCGACTTCTCTTCAGGTATCGTCATGTGCTCTGAAGCTAGCTTTAGCAGATGCTTCTTGTTTTGGTTTCATAATCTCGTGAGGAACTACCATGGTTCATCAGAACAATAAGATTAAGAAGAAGGTTGTGCATTTGTTATCATCAGCTATGCTTGTTATTTTGTTCAATTGAGATTTTGCACACACAAATCTCCAAGATAGAGAGTATATTCTGGTAAAATCAATGTTTCCTCTGTGGCCTTTGCCTCCTGTTCCTTCTGCTCCTTCGTTCTGTCCCTTGCAATTAAATTGGGCTATATAATTTTATGTTATAACCCAAATGGCTAGCTCAATTTATCAGATTGCTGTTTTCCTCAGGACATACGTGGTTGCACTTTTACTACAGTTTTTTTTAAGGCCCTGTGAATTTGGAAGTTTATGGAATCTCACTGGATAAACAAGCACTGTGTCTCAATCAATTGGGGTCAACTACGTGAATCTTTTTTCTCCATTCTGCTCTATCAAGGGCCATGTGCTCAGTTAAATTAAGTAAATTCAAATCTTTCTCACCGTCTTTGTGGGATCTCACTGGATATCATGAATTTTTTTGTCTCCTTTTATTAATAGTTTGCGATTGCACTTCCCAAACTTGTACACCAATTTAGTATTCATAAGGTAAACAATTCCTATGGGAGAAGGTAATTGCACCAATTTAGTAGCCATAGTGATTTGTCCTAGTTCTTGAATGGGTGTCTTCATTTTCGTTACCTGGTTAATCATTCTTACTATATAGTTGATTTTGGTACAGTTGAAACCTGAGGGTTTTAGTTAGTTTTTTTTTTTTTTTCTCCAATAAATAAAAGTGAGAAATATATAAATGAGTTTCCCCCGTTAATTGGGATTAAGATCTTTAGTAGTTTAGTTGTTGAGTTCAATTTTTTTATGTTTTATATTTTTCATTTTTTCTTTCAGGTTCTGTTTATTCTGGTTCTGCTGCATCTTCATCTGCATCTGCATCTGCTGCACCTGATAAAATTGCTCAAACGAAGAGGACCCATGGGATATTAGGTGTCCTTGGATGGGGTCTATTTCTTCCTTATGGGACAATTGCTGCGCGATACTTCAAGCATCATGATCCCTTATGGTTTTACCTTCATGTAGGCATTCAGTTTGTGGGATTTATATTAGGGCTTGCTGGTATCGTAGTTGGATTGTCTCTCTATAACAGAATTCATGCCCATTTTCCTACACACAGAGGCATCGGAATCTTCGTTCTTGTGCTCAGTATTCTCCAGGTTTGTTCCTGATCTGATTCAATCTCATTATTTTATCCACTTATGTGAGTGTTAGGCTAAATTAATGTTTTGAGTATGTCTTGAATTCAATCCGGATTATGCTCATCAACTGTTGGTGGCCCCCATGGCCCAACTAATCAATAGGTCTGACCTGGTATATTGTGTTTGAGTCTATTTGACCCAGTTTGGTAGGGTTATTTCAGAGTTCTAGGATTTTTTTTTTATCCACTTATGTGAGTGTAAGGCTAGATTAATGTTTTGAGTATGTCTTGAATTCAATCCGGATTATGCTCATCAACTGTTGGTGGCCCCCATGGCCCAACTAACCAATAGGTCTGACCGGGTATATTGTGTTTGAGTCTATTTTGACCCAGTTTGGTAGGGTTATTTCAGAGTTCTAGGATTTTATGATCTTGAGAGTTTCTATAGCAGAGGGCTGTGTTGAGCGAGCAGGCTCATTGTATTTTCTACATTCCTATTGGAACTCCTTTGCCTTTTCAACATGGTTCCCATCCACCTCTGCTCCTGGTTTATACTCACTAGGATCCTGGTGGGATTGGGATCAAGTTACGGCTCAAGTCTGTCTTGAGGGAGCGCTTACAGTTCCCCTGTCTGTGGCACCCCTGCTTTGCTAGGCCCATATAGGCCCTTCCTTTCTGGCTCCCCAAGGGTAGGGGCTCCCTTGCTCACACCCAAAGAGGATTGCTACTGATAGTTGCCCCCTCCTATGCTTCTTTATCAAGCAAAAACTCATTAGCCTTTCTTTGTCATTGGATGTAGGCTTATAGTCAAATCATGTAAATCCTTGTGTGTTTGTTCTTTCTATTATTTCAAAATTTCTGGTTCCATCATATCAATTAACTTGTGAGCCTTCTTCTGGTATTTAAAAAAGAGAGGGCAAGATTGTAGTCTTGAACCACCTCTTTCATGTTCAGGTCTATGCCTAACCAGGCTAGATTTTTCGAAGCTTTTCAATTTTTGTAACACATTAAAAGAACAAGAAGAGAGAATGCACAAAATCGATGACTACAATTTTTTTTGTCCTATAATGGCTGTTTAGTTTGTCCAGCGTGTATTGATTTTTCATACTTCTAAAAAATGTACAAAGTCCATTTTATTTTTCAGTGAACTCTACACATGAACTGATAAAATCATGACAAAATAAGTGTTGGGAAAGGATAACATTTACTTGTATTGACATTCAGATCGTGGCATTCTTTCTACGACCTGACCAGGACAGCAAAATCCGCAGATACTGGAATTGGTATCACCACTGGGTCGGAAGGATTGCCCTTCTCTTTGGAAATGTGAATATAATAGTGGGAATTCAAATTGGTGACGCGGGAAGTGGATGGAAAGCAGGATATGGATTTCTTCTTGGTACAGTTCTAATTGCAACTATTGTTTTAGAAATATTGTCAAGGATAAAAAGGTCGGAGCATACAGATGTTCGTCCAGCTTTCCAAATGAACTCACTTCAATAAGCGATATTCAAGAACTCCAATCATAGGTCCTCTCTCTCTCATCTTTGTATTGATGTTTTGGATTGCTTTGTTCAGGGTGAGTAAGATGTATAGTACTTTTGCTTGTGATTAGAGATTCAACCTTGCATCCAATGTTTGAACATAGAGATTGAAGCCTTTTTAATGTGTGAATTGCCTCCACGCACATGCAACAAGATCACGAGAAAGCTAATGTGGACCATTGAGTGAGCTCTCCCCCATTCCCATGTGCCATCCTCGCTTCTCTCTCTCTCTCTCTCTCTCTCTCTCTCTAGACAAACATAGAGATTTGTTTGTGTTCATATTACAAACTTCACAGCTTCGCCTGGTTATGAAGGTTTTTGATTGGATGTATCAGTATTTCGTTGCCTCACAGCATTGTTTTTTCTTCATTAACCCTGTTCTTGTTAAAACTATTTCTTGGAAGAAAAGTATTGATCACTCATCTATACTGCAGGCAGAGTTTGCATATACTTGTGTGCGTGCGCGCGCACGTGCACTGCAAAGATTATGTTGTAGTGAGAGTTCAATGGCCAAAACCTCTCCCTGAGGATGGCAAAATAAGACAACTGTGAAAAATCTAATTCTTAGGGGTTCCGTTCAGCTCGGTTTCATTTAGTTTAAGAGAAATTTATTACTCACGGTTTTATAAAATTTGGAATCAAACTAAATTATAAAATCATAAAACTAAATCAAAATGAACCATTGAGACGTGATTCGATTCTGTTTGAAACTATGGTTTCTAGCAACTTGCTATTATTCACAATCTGCTTTTAAAATATTGTTCAATATATCAAACATCAAGTAAAATACAATGGTCGTGTTTGATTTATTTTTCAAAACTCAACTCTATTTTTAAATTATGATTTGGATGAAATAGGTTAATCAATCATATTTTTAAAATACAACTCAAAATTACTTTCAATCAATAAATCACTTTTTCTCTCTCCTCTCTCTCCACTCACATTCTCTCATATTCTGTACATCAATTAATCAAAAAATAAAAATAAAAAAATTTACAAATCATCCCAAAACTATTTTTAAAATCATAACCAAACAAATTTTCTCTTTTCAAATCATGATTCAAGAACTCAAAACTCAAAATACAACTTTACACTCAAATAATAATTCTAAAATTAAGCCAAATGAAACATTAAGCAATATGCCATAATTGACATTTAAAATAAAATAATAATAAATAATAAAAAAAGAAAAGAAAGAAAAGTGCTCACAAACGAGAGTATTATCAAGCAACCATTGCTCGATAAAACTATCTCAACATATATAGGGTTCTGATTGTGTAATTTATGTGAATGGTAAATAAGTTATATATATGTATGTGTGTGTGCGCGCGCGCGCATGCGCAGAATCAGTCTAGTTCGGTTCCAAGCTGAAACCATATAGAAATTTCCAAACCTAATATCAGCCCTACTTATCTAAACACCACCATCCGCATCCTCTCTTCTTCTAGCATCAGCTGCATGGTCTATCCCGGTCACGATATCTGTCTTCATGGCATACAAAAATAGACAAACAATATGACACAATGTATAAAAATGATATTAGGATTTTGACCCGAATAATGAAACAGGTTAGTCAACTTGCGGATGGATTATGTCAATAACCAACATGCTATCAAAAAAAGAAAAGATTATTCGATGTCATATACAATTAAATGAAATTGATCATCCGAAATAAAATAACTCAGTTTTTCATTGTCAAGAACAAAAACATCAAAACTTCCTAACTAAACTATGAATCAGAGTCATCCCCGCCTAAAAAGACCTTTCAAATCCCAAAAGTAAATTTCCTGTTGTGAACCTGCACATCAGGCAAACCATGCATCAGCCAACTGCAATATGAAAAGCTAAATTACAAGAAGTAGAAGAGCCAAATGATTTACGTAGCCGTAAAAACAATCAAGGATGTACTGAGCAACAAAAAGAAAAACCAAAAAATCAAGGATGATGTTTTTAGTGCGAGGCAACAATGAAGCAGTTGTTTCTAGCTGACTAGTTTTTGAGGTAATTTTGTGCAATCTAAACTTTGACATGCTACATTCTAAGATTCTATTCAACTCAACACGACTCAACAGAAAGCTTTACTTGGAATTGAGACCATTTTTATCAGATAATTCTATAGGAAACTTGAGATTACTTGCCTTGTATGTCAGCATAGTTGTCAAATCGGGATTCGTATCGTGAATCGAAATAGTCTCGTACCGAATCACGAATCGAATCGAATCGAATTGTGAATCGTAAAGATTCAGTAACTTCTTCTAAATTATTTAAAAACATATATTTACACATTTAGATGTTAAATATATCTTATAAATATAAACTTAAATCAATAAAAATGTTATTTTGAATAATAATCACGTAGTTTAATAAGTAAGAAGTTAACAAACGTTCCTATGTAAGATCAACATCTTACCTTTTTTTTCTTTTTTAGATATTTCTTATCAACCATTCTTAATAAAAATAATAACCAAATAGACAAACTATCAATTTCTAAAGTAACAATAATTAACGATATTGATATTTGGACAATAAGCATACATACTTTTCTAAGTAACAGTGAGCAAATAATAAGAAAGAATCATTTAGAATCTTTTTTTTTAAAGTCTAAAATATTTTAAAAAGTATAACTGACCTCATAGATGTAATATTTAATTTAATAAAATAGCAATAGATAATTCATAGTGTAATTTTAATCTTAAACATCTTTAGAAGATATATTACGATTTTTTAAAGGGAAAAAAAAAATGAGAAGAAAAGTTAAAAATATGTTGGGTCTGACTAAATCTAATTAAATCCTATTAAAAACTTCATGATTATTAAAATAACAACAAATCATTTATATATGCTGATTATTTTGGTATTAAACACTATTAGAAGTTGTATAATGTCATTTTTACTAAAAAGATGGAGGAAAAATAGCGTCGAAAATATGTCGGACACAATAATTTTAAAAATTGCATGAATCGTAAAAAATGAATCGAATCGTGAATCGATTGTGAGCCATGCGATTCACTAAAGATTCACTTCAAAAATAAATTCACCCTTAGATTCATCCTTAGATTCGTATCGATTTTGCAAAAATTGCAAATCAAATCGTAAATCAAATCGCGAATCGTAAGATTCTGATAATAGGGTATGTCAGTATTAACTAGGATAAGGTACACATTGGATGACCAAGCCTTTTATGCTGTTTGGTGCAACTTTTCCTACGTTGAAAGTTGATAATCACAAAGAAAAAACTAAAAACACCCGTCCTCTAACTTCTAGATAATCAACTTTTTTCAGCTTATTTAAACTAAATTCTAAATGTAAGTAGAAGTGACACCAAACACCAATGATTTTCAAAATAAAACAAGAAAAAGAGCTATAAGCAGTTCCAATAAGCTACAACCAACAGAGCCTTTAATCCATCTGAAGAGACAAAGAAAGTTCCTAGATAGGGAAGAAAGAGGGCGAAAGAGAGAAATAAGACAGAAACATGCCAAGTGAGGAAAGATAGCAAAGGTAACAGTTTACATCCACTTACTTTATATGAAATTATAAAATCACCTCTTAATTATGTATTTTCTTATTATTTTCTGGGATATTTACTGGAGAAAAATACTGGAGTGGAATACCAATATAGTAGTACCTGATGTTAAAAAGACAGTCCAGAGTTCCTCCATTGACAGTTTATTTGCAGTGAGAAATTTTTGTACATTGTGCAGCTGCATGTTGGTCATGATATGTTGGTATAGTAGGTTAGGAGATCATAGTATTCTGCAATAAAGTTCTATTGTTATTATTCTCTTCTCATAACTAACATTAGTGATGGACATTCTAGTGCTTTTGAATTTTTCACTATTTTTCACCAAATTAGTTTTTAGTGTTTTTCAGAAAATAGATTTGGAAAACGAAACCAAACAGAAAATTGTTTCCTTAAGAATAGAAGAAAACATTTAAAACAATATTAAGGAATAGGCTTTGCTTGTAGGGAACTAACCTGCATTTGTCCATGAAGTGGTGTAACATATCAAGGAAATTTGAAACTAGTTGAATGCTGGAAACTAGAAGGTACTATCATCTTAATTGTATACAATAAAGGAGTATATCTTCGACTCTCTCTTGACCATCCTGATATTCTTAACCGGTAACAGCAAAAAAAATTGCCCTACTTGGCACTAGCTGTACTGTTTTCATTTGAAGAAAAGCTGGAAAACTAGCGAGCTTCGCTCTCTCGGACCACTCTGCTATATACAACTTTGAAAGGCTGTGAACTGTACGGTCTCTTGAGCAAACTTATTGGCATTCGCAAGGTCTGCTTTCGGTTTCTTCTTCCCTTAATCAAAATGTTGAGGGTTTTCTCGCTATCAATTTTCCAAGGGTGTCTTGACACCTGATTATTGCAACTGCTTCCAGAATTATCATCAAGAGTGTTACAGTGATTCAGTTCATTCCCAGAACTTAGAACGCTAATTGAATTTGAACCGACAATTTCTTTCTTGTTTTCTGATATAATCAGAGCCACTTCATTTGTGTTTTCCACTGCCTCTGATGCTGGAAGATTCAATTCTTTCTTAGCTTCATCCCCATTGGCAACATCCACTGGTAAGGTTGGAGCCAAACTCGGGTTCTCAGAATTGTCAAATTGTTCCTTTGCCTCCAAAATGGGATTAGCAATTGGTTCAACAACAGTTGGCGAGACAGGGAACTCCATTCGGTGGAGGCCAGGCCAAACAGTACTAGGCATGTATTCATTAGGGTTCATATTACATTGCCAAGCAAAATGATTGGGATGAAATGGACTACTAGTCATAGGAAAGGTAGTGGGAGGCACAGCTTGGGGTTGAGTATAGGGAGGGTACAAAAATGGCAATGAGTGTATCATGTTTGGGGTTGGTGGAGGTGACGGGTATGGGTGATGTGGGGAGGAGCACATTGGACTAACAGTGGGTAAGACCGTAGGAGTTCCAGGGTGAAGAGTCATGTTCATCGGCGGCCAAGGGCCAACAGCTTGAACAGCACCGGGGCGAGAAGGGAGCGTAATGTTCATTGCCACCGGTGCGGCACGTACAACACAGGGTGATGGGTTGAATGGAGCGGCCGATGCCGACAACTTCTTGTTGGGAAATTCCCGAGGATCGCCTGATCTTTCCTTTAACTCCTCAAATACATGCAGGGCAGAATTTGAATTATTGTCAGATTTGGGGCCACTAGATGCATTGTTTTCACATATCTCAACTTTGGGAACATCAATTGAATTTGGAATGTCATCGGCTTGAATGCTCTCATGAACCACTTGATCAAGTGGTTGATCAACCACTTCAGCAATCACTTGAACCACTTCCTCACTTGCAGACTCAATCTCCGAATCTTTATCCCCCACCACATTGTTCAACTCATTTTCTTCCTTCTTGTGAACAGATTCAACTCCACCGCTCGAGTCATCTTTGGAATCTAACTCCAAATTCTCAAATTTCTCTTCTGTTATATTTTCAGCCTCTCTTATTGTGTTGGCATTTTCTTTTGCTTCATTTGTTTCCAACCCACGTTTTACAACACTCAGCTCTTTGTTGTCGGGAATATCGTTCTGGGACTCCCTAACTTGCAACATAGAAATAGTACCTGGTGGGGCCAGCGCAACTTCCTTGTACGAAGGAGATTTTCCAAGGCTAACTATCGAACTTTTCTGGGATATTTGTCCAACTTCCTTTGTTGCAGATACCGGACCAGGTTCCGATTGAGATCTGAATGCCTCGCCTACTTTTCTGGAGACCTCTGTTGCAGCATCTTTAGTAGATGAAGGTACGGACTTGACTCTATATGTTACAGTTTTGACTATTCTTCTCCCAAATTTGGTACTCGGGGAGGGACTCTTCGCTGTGTGGTAATCTGCATAATTTCCCGGAGACACCGTTCGCTTCTTTAGAAGGTAATACCTAGTATTTTGGTAGTTACTCTTCAGTTTAGCATAATCCGATTCAGAAACGACATCTTTTTTTGGATAACCATAGACCTTGCTGACCGTTGCTAGGCGCTGCCTTAGTCGTCGCCCATATGAGCCTGCCGATCTTGGTTTTTGAACTGGCTGCCACCCATCTTCTCCTTCAGCATGTGGCTCGGCTAAAACATTATCGGCAACTATGGGATTTTCTGCAGCAGTTTCATCCATCACAAGCTGTTTGAACTGAACTGGCTTCTTCTCAGTAGTTTCTTCGTCCACGTGCTTAACTGGTGGACAGGCAGTTTCATCATTCACATTTGTGTCACCTTTGGGTTCGGGAATTAGTTTCTTTTCATCTGAAGAATCTTCGAGGGTATCTTTTGGAGATTCCTCAGAACTCAAAAAGCTGAAGTTTTGGTAAGATTTCTCCTTCATCTGCAAACAAAAATTTGATTAGTTTCACATATTTATGGTAGATGTGGCGTGGGCACACCCTAGTGTGTGTGAAATTTAAAACAGATATGGCAGCTATTTAAAACAATATAGATGTAAGAGAATTGAAGCAGTTTAGATCATGGTAGTTATCATGTTCTGGGTATTTTGGGAAAACCAAAAATCGTGAAAAGCTATAAAAACTCAGGTGTAGGCTTTTATATAACAGTATATATATATATGTTTATATATATTTAAATTTAGCATCAAACAATTGAATAGGCCATAAGAAAGCTTCAAAAGCAGATGGAAAATACTTTACACCACCACATTATTATTGAAAACTGAAAAGAAACCAATTATTATATCCCCTATCTCATAGTCAGATGTTAATCTTGCCCTTAAACAATTTCAGTAAACCATAGAGATGAATGAGCATACCTTCATAATATAGGATTTCCTCCTTATGGCCACAGCATCTTTGCCTTTGGCATCATGACTTGGATTGATGTAGTCAAGCAAATCTGGCACACTGCCAAAACACATAAATGTGCAGCAAAAAGAAATATGTAAGAACTAAACTTAGTCATAAAGATAGCCCAGTACCACTGGCCTTGTAGGCCAAGAGGTTCATGTTGTCAGGAGAGTGTTGGTATACCTTAAATGTCCTTTGCTGGCTATGGATGCATCAGGCTTTCGAGTCCCATTCCGTGCAGCTTCTTGCTGTTCAAAAGCCTTGGACTCAAAGTACTCAAGCCAAGCAGCGGCATCCTGTGACATTCAGATGCAAAGTTCACATTTTTTTTTTTTTTGCAGACAGTAGAAAACTGAATAAAACAAAATTAAAAAATTTTTAACTCAGTTGAAAATAAAAAATGAAACAGAAAAAAAATATACAATATTATCCTTGCCAACCATTTGGTGCACAAAGTCTTTGATTCAAGACATTCACTTGATGAAACCCAAGCTAAACATCAAAGTGATGCTAATGATATCAACTAACCAAGATCTAGCTAATTGTAATTCTTCATACTTCCATGTTTTTATCAAGACAATGGAAAACATTAATGTGGGATAGCTAGTGTAGAAATTTAATGATTTGGTGCACAAAGTCTTTGATTCAAGACATTCACTTGATGAAACCCAAGCTAAACATCAAAGTGATGCTAATGATATCAACTAACCAAGATCTAGCTAATTGTAATTCTTCATACTTCCATGTTTTTATCAAGACAATGGAAAATGGGAAATTCTAACAGCTAGCACCATCAAGTTATGATTTACGGGTTTATAGCCACATATGATCGATGATAACTTGCATTGCAAAATAGCCAAGAGGGAAATAGAAGTAAATAATCAATATTTTGGTTTGTGTTGGACCAATGAAAAAGGAATACCTGCGTTCGCAGATCATCTGGACCCAGCTTAGCTCGGAGAATTTGCAAGGTTGTCTGCTCATGCTGAACACTCAAAGGGTAAGCTTCCATCAATGAGAGTGCAATTGCTATAGCATGGTAACTTGCGGCTGTCTGGAAAGAAGAAAAATAGAAAGAATTAGGTCTCAATTGTATAAAAAAAATTAAAAACTCCTATCAGTCCTCATGGATATTGTAATAGCTAGATAGCCTTTACAACAAAGAATGCAAGTTGATAATCAGAGTGATGTAAACCAAAATTAGCAAGCATTATCATGCTTTCCAAGCACAATTGGCATCCTCCAAACTGTCTAACTTTGGTTAAAGATTTCAAGCTAGATTCCATTAATCTGATTATTTAAAAAAATAAATAAATAAATTTGTGATGGTAACTCTGCCACTGATAAAATGCTAGGATGCCAGAAAGTTAAAATTAGGAATGCAGAACCAGGACCTTAGTAACTTGGGCAAACAAATGTTCAAATTCAGCTATTTGTCCCAAAAAAAGGGGGGGAAGTTTTTGAAAATGCCTACATCTGCTACAAGGCAAATCATCAAATAATATTACAGTAAAACCATGCACCACCATATTTATGTGGTCAGCATGTGCCTCTCAGGGCAGTGCCACAGTTGTGTGTGTTTTAAAGATAAAATTTATTTTTATGCTCGACAGGTTGAAGAGAACATTTACTACATGAGAAATTGATATATTAATCAACAAAGTGAATACTACCAACTCTAATCAGACCACAATCTAGAATTTGTGCATTTGCAGTGTATCCTAGTTTACAGAATAGAGAAGCAACCTGTGTTCTAAGTTAGTTCTAGTTCAATATCTCATCTCGTTGCACAATCAACTCATAGCTAAAATTGTATATCAAATACTTGTATAAAATTAGTAAAGGGAGATCAGCAATATAGAAAAACCTGAATGTGGTCTGGGCCAAGTAACTTTTGGTTACACTTCAGAGCTTTGTGGAGATATCTAAGAGCAATATGCACATTTCCCAGGCCTTCCTCCATCATAGCGACATTGATGTATGTTGCAGCAGTGTTCGGATGTGATGGGCCACATGTGAGATGTAACAGATAGAGTGCACGCTTTACATATCTGAAAATGACAACAAAAATTTTCATTCAGTAGAAGCATGAAAACATCTTGATGACAAACAGGCAAGGATCAACATGAATAACATTTTAATCTTGGCATCTCATATCAAACCTTTGCCGAAAGCATTCACAAAATTAAAATTAAAACTCAAAAAATATATCCATATTCAACTCAACAAAGTTTGCAATGGACTACAAGCCCATAGATGCTTCAGCACATTCAAAAGACTAATATTGGTGCTTATTAGTACTTGGAAGAACGTGTGATTTTTCATAGATTGGAGGAGCCTGAGGACAGAGAAAAAAAGCCTTGAGAAAGTTATATATATGCTTAGAGGAAAAAAAGAACAGCAGATGATTGATGTGGAGGATCATGCGGCAAAACCAAAACTTGATAAGGAAATCAGAATTTTAATGTCGAACCACAGCTAAGAGTTCATTTACTCTACCATATTGTGCAATTTCAGATAAGAGGTTAAATAAGCTTATTGGAAAAGCACATTTCTTGGGGTTGGCAGCATAATCCACCTCATGTATCAAGTACAATAAATACACAACCTGATTTATTGCAGCAAAAATAGCAACATAAACGGTAAACAATACGACCTAAATAATTATACACAAATGTGAAAATTTCATGAAGACTTCATGTAAATTTTAAACGCAATGCTACAAGATACAAGACAAAAACGTACTTAAGAGCTAGCTCTGTATGCTGAAGTCTGTAATAGAACACAGCAAGATCCCCATAGCTCTTCATTGTATCTGGATGATCAAGTCCTAATTCTCTCTCATTAATATCCAAGGCTTTTTGCTGATAAATTGTGGCCTGTAATTGGGACTACATGAATTAACTATATCTTGATATATCTACTTTAATAAAATACAAAAAGTCAAAACTATAGAAGTATTTGAAGTTTGTATGCCTAGGCAGGAAATATAAATCTAGGCAGCAAATCTAGTAGGTAAATTTTCTAGAAATGGTTCATAACACAAGTGATTTTGATGCAGATCATGTGGGTTGAGGAACAACAATATGAGAAGCCACACTACTGGTATCAGCTGATAATCAGCTTGTGGGGTCACTGGGTGTGTGTTTTTTCAGTTGCTTTGGAGTCTTAATTAGTGTTCTATTTGCATATTGAATAATTAATTATAGTCTTGAGTCATTTGAGTTTAGGGTAGATTGGTCATTTAATTATCTTTTATTTCGCTAGACAAAACAGTAGTCTGCTGATTTAAATAAAGGCTTCATCCCTTTTTTAGTGCAACCCTATTTTAGTGCAACCCTAGTATCTTTTAAAAAGGTTCTTCTAGCTTGTATTCAACAGTTTTTTTTCCTCCCTTATGTATTCAACGACTTTTGAATGATTGTTTAGGAAATTATAGACTCTACAGAAGCTTTCTCCCTCTCCCTTTTCTTTTTTTGATATGAAAATTTTTAATATGAAAACACCACAAAAATTTACCCCTACTCAGATTATCAATAGTTAAAATAACTTCATGTGCAGTCGTCCAAGCAAAGAATACCACTTTTTTGGGGGGAGCTCTCTCTCTCTCTCTCTCTTAGCTATTTATTTTTTGGCTGACGAGCAACATTTTAGCTTACTCTAACTCTCGGATTCCCCTTCTTGTCATTTTAATCTTCTTTTCCTTAGAGGATTGCATTATATTTTCTCCTCTACAAGAGATGTTCAATTAACATTAAAATTAAAATGGACAGCAGTTACAATTCCCAGAAATGGGTCAATAGTATTATGATAAAGTTGGCAAATACTTCATTCTGTTTCAAAGATGCCCAGCAACACCAAAAACAAGAATGGATGAAAAACCTGATTGAAGTCTCCCGTGTGATACAAAACCACAGCAAGAAGGCTATAAGCTCCTGCTGTCATTCGATGGTAGGGACCACAAACTGCTACCAGCTTTGCAAGAGCCTGAAAACATCATAGAAGTACAGCCACATAATATACCAATTTACCCAGATGATAGGCCACAGGAACAGATTTGTTGAAGGACCTAAATACTTTTTGATATACCCAAAGGGAATAGATCACATGATTTTGGATATCAAATACCTTTGCCCCATAACTGACTGCATCTTCAAGTTTTCCCTTATCTAAAGCTGTTTTTGATGATTCCAAGAGCTGTCGTCCATCTGCAGATGAGCATGCTGCTTGCTGCAAAGAAACGGAGAATGCAAAAGTTTATACTGAAGCAGTGCCAAATTCATAGATGACAAATTAGACTAGAATGTGTCATTATTCTACCAAGTGACATGGTGTACTGCATCACCTTATGCACTGGTACTAGACTGACAATGTCGACTTTCCGGAAAGGCTTTGGAGAATTCATGTCATAGTCTCTGGGAACCAGTTCAATACCCACCTATTACAGAAACAAAAAGCAATTTGTCATTGTTTATGTTCCATTAACTACTACAGGACCTGCAATATCATACAAAAATTCTTTTACACATAAAAATAGTCAATAAATACATCAGTTTCTTTGCATATATTTACAATTTTTCCAAATGAGAGCTCTTCTCAGAAGGAGTCATGGACAATGATGAGTACTCCATGCTATCAAGAAATATGTGATATGTCCATTGCTAACTGTTAACAAGGAGATCTGACTGGCCTAAATTAATTTGATTGGATAGACAAAGCATGCGATGTGAAGATCTTAACACACAATTCAAAGGCCACTTAACTAAAAAAATGAGACAATTCTCAGTTTAACCAGTTGAATGGCAGCCTCCAACAGTCTACCTTTCAAACCATCTTAAATGTATTTCTTGACGAGGCACTAGTCATGGTTATTAATAGAGATTTATGTGTTTCAAAAATGGGTGAGGATAACTTCTTTTAAAAATGCATTGAAATCAGCAAAAAAAAATGCAGGCCATTACCAAAAGTTTGGAACTTAAGAGGCCAATTTCAAGTACCTTATGGCATAAGCCACGGAGAATTGCAAATTTCCTCACATCTTTGTAGTTTAAGCTGCTGAGATCCCATTCATATCTCTTCTTCAAAAATACTTCCAGCCATCTCCAGACAAGAGAATGAATGTTACAGGATTGATTTAATTGCCCATTTTCAGGAACTCCAAGCATCAGATTTAATGTAGCAGCAATGGCCACAGCAATTTCCTCAGTATTAACAACAGCGGCAATCACTGCCTGCAGAATGTGCTTAAAAGCTCGTACTATCATCTCATGAATACAGAGAGACTGCACATGTGATAACTTGTCTGAAAGCTTAACCTGGTCAAGCAAAAAGGAAATACCAATGATCAATCAATTTGGAATGACCAACATGTAGTACATTTTGTAGTTTCAAATTATAGTTCTTATTTTCTCAGCTCATAACTAAGAATCATATAATCCTAACCAATTAATGAAGGATACATTGTAAGTTGACTAGTTGCAATGGGAAAAGAAAGCTGAAAGTTATGTGAACAGAGCAACCAAGAGAAGCACTAAAATCCTATGCTTTGCACTTCTCAGTTGAAGACATTGACTTAACAGGCTGATAAATTGACAAAAACTATATGTTATCATTTTCAGAAAATATCCTTGAAATTTTACCAATGTAAAGAAAAATTGAAATAGATAATGTAGTAGATCTTTAGAAAAATAAAATGAACCGACAATCAATGATTGCATCTTTTTTAAATAAAATACAACATTATCTAGATTATTGTGGATGTTTATGTTAAAAAACACCGGAAAGGAATTACAGGAGTTATTTTATGCTTATACATAAGGAGGACTTACGTATAGGTCCTAATAGGTGGACTTATTATCCAATAGATCTTGTGATAATTAACGGTGTTTTCCATCAAACACTATTAAAAAACATTTGTTAATTTTTAGCAACAGTTTGAAAAACTTGTCACAAAAAAATATCACTAATTTTCAACTTTCAGTGACAGATTGAAAAATTCATCACAAAAAAGTCACTGATTATAAGTTTTAGCAACAATTTATAAAAAAATGTGACCAAAAAAAATCACTAATTGTTAATTTTTAGCGACATGTAAAAAATCGTCACAAAAATTTATTTTTAGCAACAATTTTACTAAGACTAACTTTCAATAGGACTTAATGGAAATTAAGTCCAACTATTAGGGACCTATTAGTAATTTATCCTATAAATAAACATGGGTGATGATGACACTACATGGTTTTGATGTTAGCCTTATCTGGTAACTTCGGTCAACATGGACGGATAAAAGACGCTTGACAAACAGAGGAATATTACCATGGGTACATACACAAGTGTCAAACTTTGAACAAATGATGTATCCAACAGATTATAAGATAGAAATGTCGCCTATGTTACGTGGATAGCAGATAAAAATGTACATGACACGTATAAAGGAATTAAAAGCCTGTATAACCATAAGGTAATTACCACTTGTCCCAAGGAACGCATTCGAAGTCCTCTGGTATGCATGAAATCAGTCAGAGTCCGACCATCAACTGGTGAGAGTTCCAAGGAACCAAAATCTGCAACCTGCATCAAATAATCAAATGCTAGAAATTGCATCATAAAATTGAAATGTGCATGTATCAGATGGATCAGAATTTTGATCAAAGTGTTTTTTAATTACCAGTTTTGGAAGAGCAACTTCATTGTAATATTTCTGAGACAAGTCAGTTAGCTCTTGGACAGACTATCAATAAAACGCGCTAGGTCAGTATGAGCTACACTGCAAGGGGAGAGAGAGAGAGAGGGAGAATCCTGAACCTCAATGATAATTACAAAACACTACCTTGCAATGAAGACTAGTTTCCGAATTTTTTAAACGAGTAAAAGCAGCATCAGACAACAACCTCCTTAGGACAAGTTCATTTTCATTGGCATTTGTCTCTAGCTGAGATTGTAGAGAAGGTGATATGGCATTTTCTGCTTCCCCATTGACAACAACTACAGCAGAATTTGAGCTATCGGACTGTAGTTTCATATTACTTCCATCTGAATTCTTCTTGCTGTTCTTAAGGGATTTAAGAGGTGTTCCAAGTCCCTCAACCTTCATCTCTTTTTTGGGCTTCTCACTCGATGGTTTCTTATCCTTTTCCGTGTTTTTTTGATCTTGCAAATGTTGAATCCAGCAGGCTCCAAGTTCCCACCTCACAAATATGTCCCCTTCTACTTCCTCTTCCTGAAGCTTAGCAAGACTTTTTTCCAATAATCTCTCCACAAAAACTTGGGAAGAATTGAGCTCTTCACATTCCAAAGTTTGTGAATTTGGTGCTGCTCTGATGTCTTCTGAAACTGCTTGTTTGTGAAGAAGAAATCTTAAACTGTAAAACACAAGGATATAAGAATAATTTAGTCAAGAAACAGAAAAGAAAAGAAAAAAATCAAAAGAGCATGTACTAAGCTCCACAATGAAAACCTGTTAATATTGAGGGCATTGGCACCGCCTTCTGGCTGATCAAGAAATTCAGAGCTTTGTGATGGAGAACTCATTTTGACATTGTCTTCCCCCTCAACTTTAACTACAGCAATGTAACCACAGTATCTCACATTAACAACACCTAGAGTGGCAATGTCCTGCACTCAAATTGTTTAATGTTCTTCAACCATGTTAGCATAAACCAATTCAATATGAATAGAAGACGGTCCAAATTTTGGATAAAATCTCATTTTTTGTATGCTGTCTTACCTGGGCAGCAGTGTTTTCATCTGCAGTGATTCCTTTCAGTAGGTTTCTTTCTACTAAATTCTTTTCATCTGATACAATTGCTTGAATTCCATCAATCTTAGTATCTACTTTAGAACTTGCACTTGAAGAATCTTTCATGACAGTGACGCTCAAGTCCCCTATTTTCTCACTATAAATGATTTCACAGTTTGCGACTGGATGGGTCAATTCTGATCTTCCCATTACATGCCGCACAGCTGAAATTGCTCTGAAAATGGCAACATCTACAAATAGGCTGTGAAGAAGGAAAGCTTTTCTATCTCTGATCTGCCTCTCCTCTGCTGTCTTACAAGGCATAGATGAAAGAGACCAAAACTCGTTAGCCCAAGGTAATAACTCGCTTTTGCCATCTCTGCCCAGGCCACCGCCATTTCCTCCCCATGCTTCATCCTCGACAGGAAGAAGAGGGAATATCGATGGTGATTGTGCTGCAATGGGAGGGATGAGCCATGTGTTGGCTCTGAAGCCATAGGGAAGATTCCCAAACTGCAGCAAGATACAAAGAAATTGGTTAAAATGTATAAAATCCAAGAATTCAGAAGAATTAACTCATGGAAATTTAGGTTTTTAATGAAGTTTGGGTTGGAAAATAAATTCATGGCAATGGTTGTTTACCTTGTTTCGTTCTGAGAATGCTTTCATGAGGTCGTCATAGGCCTGAAATGAGAAATAAGTAGCGTTAAACCTTCAACAAGATTTTTGACAAATCAACGGAGGGCATGAGGCTAGAAGGAAATGTTGAGAAGTATATCTTATGTTCTGGTTCTGAATGATAAAACAGGTTAATAAACCCAAAATGAATTTCTTTGCTTATACAACTAATTAACTTCACATGCAGGATGTATATATCAATAATTCATCAATTGCATTCACATATTACACATTAAATTTTGCCGAAGCAGCTAAGAAATCAACATAGCATCTGCCAAAGATCCTACCACCATCACCAATTTCCACTTTGAAAAAGGTTGCATATCTCGATGAGGAAGACCAACACTTGCATCTCAAACACACGTAGGGGAAAATCTAATGTAGTATTGGTTTATTGGAATGGAGGTGGAATGGAATGATCATTCCATTAGAATGTCCATTCTCATGCTTGGATCACTACAAAAATGATGAAAAATACATTGCAAATTCAATCATCATTCACCATTGTAAATAAATTGTTATTCAGTAAAGAGATTAAGGAATGAGCAATCCATTTCATTCTAATGAAGTAAACATAGCATGAGTTTTAATAGTACTTGATTCCAGCAAACAACCAAAGAAACCATGTTTATCATGCTTTTAAATAAAGCATCAATCAAGTTGCGGCATGTGAAAAATGTAAGCAATCCAAGATGTAATGGAACAATATCAACAAACACAAAACAAGATATGAACCCAAAATGAACGTGTCTGCAAATCTCACATTATCAAAAGCTCTACTAAGTTGTCGTAACAAATCAACAAGGTTGTGACAAAGAATCTGCTGCTTCCCAACACTATAGAATCCTTTTCTGCACGCTTCAACAAGAAACAGCTTTCCATTGCAGAGCTTCACCTGCCCATCAACAGCGCATCTCACCGTGATTTAAAAGACACTACATGTCATATTAATAGCAAATACAGAACAAAATAGTTCTAGAGGCTCTTACTTCGAGGGAGAAAAGATGATCATCCACTAAAATCTCATCATCATGTTGTCTTGTTGATCTCCTTATAACTACAACATTCGGATGTCCAATAAGTGCACACCTTTATTTCTAGCACAAATTTCCTCATTCAAAAAGAATATGAAACTAGAAGTAATTCTTTTACGCTATGTTTGGTTTGAGGATTTAGAAAAGAATTTGGAAAAAGTAGCTAAAATGTGAACAAACACTTTTTCCTTTTCCCTTTTCCTTTCCAAATCCTTTCTCAAATCTCTCAACCAAATGCACCGTTAGTTTTCACCTGATTTATGTTTTTCAATAAATTTGATGCATTAAAACCCATGTTTACAATTATATGATGTCAAACATTCTTACTCGGCCTCGTTGGGGAATAGATTTTTTTAATAATTTTTTAATTTTTTGGCTGTAATATGATATAAAAAAAGCTAATATGTTTAGGATGACTTTTTAATTTTTTACGAAAAGATATGCAAAAAGTAGAGAGAAAATGAAATCTTTGAATTTTTTATATAAATTGTTAGCTTTTTGATTTTTTTTAGTGACATTTTGACTTTTTTACTAAAATCATCACTTGTCAGACGAAGAATCACAACTAGAGTGTAAAACGAACCAAACTAAGACCGACTCGTATTCAGCTTGTTAAAAACGCTTTAATATTAACTTGTTACATAAACAAATCAAGTTTGCATACATTTTAAAATCATTAAAGTTTTTAAACTAAATTTGAATAATTTATTACCCATAGCCATTTTAAAAAGAATAAAGATTGAGAGTACTAATTTTAGAACTTTAAAACGGGCTCTGGTGATGTGGTAAAGAGTAAAGCTCACATGTGATGTGATGTATGTACCTGTGATTTTGTTTTTTTTATTTTTTTTTTTATTCTCTTGTCACATCATTAGAGTTCTATTTAGAGTTACAAAATTAGGGGTATGTTTGGTTTGTGTTTGAGAGATGTGTTTTAGAGATAAAAAGACGAAGAATCACAACTAGAGTGTAAAACGAACCAAACTAAGACCGACTCGTATTCAGCTTGTTAAAAACGCTTTAATATTAACTTGTTACATAAACAAATCAAGTTTGCATACATTTTAAAATCATTAAAGATTTTAAACTAAATTTGAATAATTTATTACCCATAGCCATTTTAAAAAGAATAAAAATTGAGAGTACTAATTTTAGAACTTTAAAACGGGCTCTAGTGATGTGGTAAAGAGTAAAGCCCATATGTGATGTGATTGTGATTTTGAGAAATTTTTTTGAGAAAATTTGTTTGGTTTGATTATTTTTGAAAACTTATTTGTAGAGAAAATTTCCCAAAATTTTTTCAGAAAATCAAACCAAACGAGCCCTAGAACTCTACTATCATTGTTTTTATAAAAATCAACCTAATCAAGCTCGGCCTGTGATCGGCTCAATTAAAGCTTGACAAGTATGAACAAATTTTGAAACTCGTTAAGGTTTCAAATAAAGGTTGAACAAACTACAATTTGATTTGACTCGGCTCGTTTAAAACTCTAATCACACCACACAATCACCTGAATCAAATATAGATTGATTATAAAACTCACAATTAACTGAAACTGGCTAATGTAACCTAGAGAGCGAGAGAGAGAGATTACATTGGAGAGGGGGTGTGAGATGAGAGAGAGAGAAGAACTCGTAGAAGCTACCCAGCTTAGGGCACGAATTGCTCATCTCTCCCTCTCCCTCCACCGACACATCTTTCGGAGACTGCGGCGGCGTTGACGGTGGCGATGATGACTTCTTGTTGTTCGCCGGAGACTTGCCGGACTTCTTCGCCGCCTTGGTATCCTGCGCACCCCGCGCATTCTTACCGGACTCGGCATTAGATTCCTTGATCGCCGACGGACCGAAGCTCGTCGTGCAAGCCACAATGTCCAGCACCCTTCTAACGTGCGCCGTGGCGCTCTCTTCATCGTAGTCCTCTGCTCAGAGAATAAGCAAAAAGATTGAGGGTATAAATGAGATTTCACACTATTGTCGTAGTACAGAAGATAAACGATGTCGTATTGAGGGTTGGATATACCTTCTATTAGAGCGAGCACGTATGGTTTGAGTGCGGCGACATCGACCGTATCTTTTAATCGCGGTCCTCTTATCTGTTTTGGTAAATTGGGCAAAATAAGAAGGGTAAATTTGGGAATTAAAATTTAATGATAGCAATAAATGAAAAAATCACAAAAAAATTAAATAAATATAGGGTTTTGATCTTTTTTTTATTAATTTAAACTCTAATTTTTTTAATTTGTTTCAATTTCAATTATTTGTATATTTTCATTAAATAAAATCAATGAAAAAAAATGATATTTTAATAATTAAATTCAAATAATATTTTAGAGATTATATGTATGCCTATATTGAGTTTAATAGTTAAAATATCATTTTTTTCATCGTTTTACTTAAAGAGACAACAAATGATTTAGATTAAAAAAAATTATAATTTAAATTGATAAAATTAAAAATTTATTTTGTTACAGTGATCAAAGTCTAAGATTTGTTCTTGTAATTTCTCCAAAATAAATTTAGTGCTTCCAAATAATTTTTTTTAATGATATTCTCCAAAAATGATAAAAAGAACTAGTTAAAAAATTAGGCATTTGTTAAAGAAAAATGATTTGTGAACAATTTTATTAATATAAAAGTATGATAATGTTATTTTTATAATTCTAAGTCAACATAATTAATGTTTTGACTTAAAATGAAATTATATTATTTCATATAATTTTTTTTTTTAGATAGAAATTCTATTTCTATAACATTATCCTTTGCTAAATTATTGAAAAAGCATAGATAATTCGACATTATTACTAGAATTACCTCATGGGATAATGAAAAATTGGTGATACTACAAGTAATTGTGTTCACAGACAATAGCCGACGAACATCAATGATCCTGTCTGTTGATATTCCCTGTCCAAAGTCACAATTGTGTCACATTCAACATAGTATTTAATTGTATCACATTATGGTGCTTAATTGTTTAAGGCCACTTTTAGAAATATGGTTAAAAATCAAAAGCCAACTTTTAATCTATTTTACATTGTATCATTTCTCTACACATTATTTTTTTTAAAAATCAAAAAAAAAATCAAAAAAAATTAATTTTTAACCAACCTCTTAAAATAACCCTGAATAATAAAAAACACTAATACACAACATTAATTATGGGTGTGTTCGGCCAACGGTGTTCGGTCGTGGAGGGTGATGTTTTGGTCATGGGAGTGTTCGATGTTTCAACCCCTCGGCCATGGAAGGCGACAGGCGTGGCAGACACAACGTTGTGCCTTGGGAGATATGGGCAAGGCATGGGAGACAAGTAGTGTGGAGATTTATTAACTTTGGAGTTTCTTAGCATTGAGTGTAGTGTAATTAAGAATTACTTTTAACTTTTTTCTTTTATTATTTACAATTTAAAAATCGTAAGATTAAGAGGTTGGTTGTGTGGATGCGAATAGCAGTAGAGATAGATCGTATTTTCCAAATCTCTCTCGATGCATTTTGTCTTCTTGTAACTTTAATTTCATATTTTTATAAAAAATTTCACTTTATGATAAAAAAAATTAGAAGGTAAGCTCTATATTTTCCCATATGCTATTAATGATTTTTTATTTTCAATTTTTTTAAATATATATATATATATATATATATATGAAAGAATAATAAGAATAATAATTTTCAACTCAACAAAGTTTGGATTCCAAACATATGAAAAAATAGAAACGATTATAAAAATATGACAATTTCAATTGTCAATAATTTTAAAATTTGACCAATTACTGGTCTCTTACGCAATTATTAATGACCACTCAATTGCATAGTGTGTACCATATGCACCAATTTGATACCAAAACATGTTGACAATGTGAAAGACACGACGCAAGTTAGATTTTTATTTTTACAATTAAATAAACTTTGACAAATAGTGTGTACCATATGCACCAATTTGATACCAAAACATGTTGACAATGTGAAAGACACTACGCAAGTTAGATTTTTATTTTTACAATTAAATAAACTTTGACAATTGCCTTGCATTGGTTCATCAAAACAATTCATATTCTACTGCTCCTAACTTTGTTGTTTTCTCCACCACAATCAATTTGAGCCAACAAGAAGACTTTGAATAGTAGAAGAAAGTGAAAGATGAAGTATGCAAAAGGATATAAAGCATAAAAATGCCATAAAAAATTGAAGTAGTTAAAAAAAAAATTAAAATTAAAAAGAAGTGAAAATGCACACAATAAGTCCACAAACCACTCTTTGCAAGATATAGCAAGCATTACTAGAAAAAAATATGAATATATTGCTTCAAGTTTGTCTTAATGTTTTAGGAAAAACAATTCACAAAATAACCCACTTTTTTCAAGAAATTATTTTTAAAAATTATTTCCACACAAAAAATAGAAAGGATATGAAAATGATGAATGTTTTTTTAATATTTCGGTTGTTTTGTTTTCTGAAAACAAGAAAATGAAAAAGAGCAATGAATTCAGAGTGCCAGACCTTCAAAACAACATGAGTCTCATCCGGAAGCTTCACAGTTACATCAATTACGAGGGGAAGAACTGCAAATTCATGAAGCAAAGAAATTAAAAAGTAGTTATACAAGAACATCAATGGTATAAATATTGAATATTCATCAAAAAGATTGTTCTCAATCACAAAGCCATACCCTTCTCCTCTTTCTTCTTCTTATCCGCTTTTGACTTCCCACGGCCATTCTTTGGTGCCATCTGTAGCTCGATGAAGTGAGTTAAAACTTCAAGAGCTCAACTATGTCTATTTCAGAAGGGGAAAAAAAATGTTAAGTCACATTAATTTTTGAAATTATGCATGATAAGATTTGCACAAGCAAAACAAAATTGTTTCTTAAGCATAAGCATAGCCGCCCCTTGGGGTCACTCAGAACTCGTGTTCCGTAATTACTTGATATGTGAGAGATAAAAAACTGTATGTACTTGAAGAACTGACCAGGGTATTATATTAATGAAAACACAATTTTAGCATAGCCCCTATTGGGACCACTCTCAGGACGTGTATATGGTAATTACAATAATGTTTGAAAATTCTAATTTAAAAGTTCTAATACAGTTCTAATGACGTGGAGAGTGTCCATGTGAAGAGAAAGCCCTTTTTCTATCTCTCTCTCTTTCACCTCATTAGAATTCCTATTAGAACTACTATTTTATAAATATGTATGACTACTCCGGTAATTATCTAGTATGTTGGAAATGGAAAATTGTATGTAACTGAAGTACCCAAAGCTCCAGATACCCAAGTTACCAAAAAGTACAATTTTTAGGCATAGCCTAGATATTGTATCTAGTTGGGGAAAAAGAAAAATTAAAGGCTTAAAATCCAATACCCAAGATTAGCGGCTCCGCTTTTCCACATCTTTAGGAGTCGACTAAAATATAAACTGTATTTCGAATACTCAAAAAAATACCCAGAAAAACAAAGGTGTAAAGACTCTGAACCACACTAAATGAATAAAAGAAAGGTCCAAGAATGCAAAGAAAAAGCATCAAAATGACAAGAGAAGACTAGTAGTACTACTTCAGAAGAATTACCAGAGAACTCCAATAATAATGAAGGATTGATAGAGAAGGATCTTTAATGCTGCATTAAATATGAGCCAAACATATAAAGATGTATGAGAGAGAGAGAGAGTTCAGAGAGTCGATAAGGAAGAGAACTTGTTCACCATTAAAGAGGATTGAATTGAAGCTCTCTCTCTATTCTCTCTCATAATCCACCAGAAATAGAGAAAGATAGAGATATGGAGGAGGGAGGTGGTACGATAAGGAAGGAAGGGTGGAGATTTAGCAGAGAACTCAGACTTATATGACATTTTGTGGCATTTTCTGCCCTTATACAGTAATTATCTTCTTCAAGATATTTAAAAATACTTATATAAATAAATAATATTTTCACACATAAATACAAACATATGAGTTTTATATGCTGCTCCACAGCATAACTGCAGGTAAATAGAGATTGTGTAGGGGACCACTTGTTGATCTCTCAATCACAAACTTTATCATACAATTTTTTTTATTACGTTACTTGTGATTTTGTTTTTTGCTTTATTTTTTAAAACAACCCCGCTACGTAGCTTGAATCTGTGGCTCAAATTTGTGACTCAACACCAAAACGACGTTGTTTTGGTGTCTTTGTTTTTTTTTTTTTTTTTTTTTTTCCTGTGTTTTTGTTGTAGAAGGAAGACAAAGAAGAAGGGTGGAGAAGAAGAGAAGGAGAAGAGAAAGGAGGAGGAGGAGGAGGAGAAAGGAGGAGGACTGGAGGGGGCATATTCACAGGGGGAGGAGGAGGCGGAGATGGGGCCGGAGGCGACGGCGGTGGTGCTGCGACGACTGGCGGCGGCGAGGTGACGGCGGTGGTGATCTCCTCTCCTCCTCTCTCTTTCTCCCTCTCTCCTCCTCTTTCTCCCTCTCTCCTCCTCTTTCTCTTCTTCCTCTCTTCTCTCCCTCTTCCCTCTTCCTCTTTTCTCCTTTCTCTCTGTCTCTGTCTTCGAATTCGAGCCATTTTTCGAGCCACAGATTCGAGCTACCAATCTTTTTCCTTTTTAAAAATATACAAATAATAATAATAATTTTTTGGCTACTTGTTTTTGATAAAATTTTCTAAAAGTTACTAATTCTTTTTGCTATGTTCGTTCTGGTGGAAAACGTTTTCAAAAAATATTTTTGGTAAAATTAAAATTGTTTTCCTATATTTGATTGGGACCTTAAAATTAATGTTTTAGTAGTTGTGGTACTGGTGGTGAGATACCGGTTGCGACGGTTGGTGTGGTGGTAGTGGTGGTTGGGGGATGGTAATATAGTGGTGGTAGTGTTGATGGGGGGAATGGTATGGTGGTGTTAGTAAGACTATCGTCTAAAAAATATTCTTTTATTTTTCAAAATCAAAAAACATTTTCTACCTAAATAAACTTATTTTTTTGTTGATCATCTAAAACATTTTCTATTGTAGTAAATGTAAGAAAATGCAAAAAAAAACATTTTCTGCCAAAATAAAGGAATCGCTGGAAGCATCACAATCTTGTTTTTGAATTTTTAAAAATTGCTCACAGAATAATGAGCATGATATAAAACTAATGGATATTTATAAATTTTTAATATTTACTAGTGTTCAAGGATGGATCTATATATATAGTCCTAGATATAGTATTACTATGTTAAAATATTCTCTCGAGTGTCAACCACTAATTTAATCAAGAGTAAAGACAACAACAAAGTGAAATTCTCATTCAATTCCTAATTAACTATGATTTTGTTTTTTAATCTCATAAATAAGAGTTTTTCAACGTCTCCATTTTATTTACTAATCAACACCTTACACATTATCTCTTAAATGAATAATTATTAATTTGAAATACAATTTAAACTTATTTCAATAATATTGAATAATTTCTTCGAGAATTGCCTTATCGTATAAAAACATTAGTTTAATATAGCTTTATATATCATTGAAGGAATTGTAACATAACAGTGCAATCCACGTTTGAGTGTAAAGCTCAATGGAACTCGTATAAATACTCGAATGATTGAGAAGTAGCTAGAAAAGGCAAATGATTCAATTGCTTGTCTAATGATGGCCTCTAAGATTTTGGGAGGTGTTCCTTAACCAATTAAACCTTGTTGGTCAACTTCGTTAACTACTTTATTTGAGAACAATATTAGATTAAAACATTCATAACTTTTTTTTATTCTAATGAGGGACTTTTTAAGAAAGAGTTATATTAGATTTATTGTTATAAAGTAACTATCAAAAACTCACAAATCATTCACAAATCACGTATATAAATAACATCATAATGAAATAAGACTAAACGGATCAGATTGATGATTCATAACAATATAAGTCTTTTTATTCCTATATACTAATCACGCAGATTCAGGACAGAGGTTTGCCATAGCCTAGGGTGGCCATGGCCCCCCAAAATTCTTCAAAATTATATTATTACTCATCAATTCTAGGAATTTTCAATAATGTATATGAAATGTCCCTCTTATGTTTTTAAAAACTTCTTTTATTGACCTCCATTTTAATGATATTTTTGCAATATATATAGGATGAACCCTCTAATTTGGTAAGAAATTCTTCTATTACCCCTCTATTACAAAAGTAGTCTAGCAATGCATAGGAAATGATCTTTAATCATTTTACATATTATGTAATACCATCAGTTGTGTTGATTTGATTTTAAACGACACAGGTTCAAATTACGAAACCAATCTCTCCACACAAGGATAAAGTTGTACATATTTGACACTTTTCGAATCCTATAACGTTGTGAATTTTGTGTGAGAATTGCCTTATTTCAAATTACGAAACCAATCTCTCCATCCCTGCGTAGATTAAACCCGTATAACCCATTACACTAAGGCCATGTTTGTTTGAGCGAACTGGATTAGCATTCCCATGACTAATAGTCCCAGGACTACGAATCTGTTGGATTATGTATCCTATCTTAACTAATAGTCAAGTTTAAAATAATTAGTCCGTACTTCAATTGTTTAACCAAACATCGGATTAATAATTTTATTGAACTATTAGTCCAATCCTAAGCTCATGTCCACCCAAACAAACATGGCCTAAGGGCATGTTTGTTTGGATGGACTGGATAAAAGGGGATTGTAATCCATCGGACTGTTAGTCCTGTGATACATTGTCCCCAGACTATTTGGTTGGATTAGGTTTGTATCCTATGTTTGTTTAGTCATGGGCTTAAATGTCTGGATTAGACTATTCTATTAAATCCTATATTGGTTTGGGATATTATAGAGAATAATAAATACTCAAAAGACTATTTTTGAATTATTTACTAAATAATATAAATATTAAATTTGAATTATAAATTTTATTTTATTTTTTTACTAGAACTTTTAAAAAATTTGAAAAGTGAACCGTTGGAGCATCTGGTACCAGATTTGGTGAAATGAATCATTTTTTACTCACATTTGATGAAAAATCTGATTCACCGTTGGAGATGCTCTTAAGGTTTTATTAAGTATAATAGCATAAAAAATTTAATAAATTTATTAAATATAAATAATTTAATAAATAAATTTTATTTTTAAAAAGATATTAAATAGTAGAGGGTCAAAAATGTAATTTCAGTACCTAATCTCATGGGATGAGTTATCTTATGGATTGTGTCTCACCCCCTTGGATAGAATAATTCCATAGATTTAGGATTCATAGTTCGAATAGACTATTAGTCCGGTACAAAAAATTTCAATCAAACAACGAACTATTAATCCGAATGAACTATTAATCATATATCACATGCTTAAATCCTTCCAAACAAACACCACTTAAAACTATTAGGTTGTATTTTATTCATTGGATTGACACCACGTATACCAATTAAGACAAAGTGCAACACCAAAATGAGACAAACCTAAAGCGGTTCAAGTTTATGATTCCTCCCAAGATAAATCTTTTTATTGGGTTAAACCCCAATAATCCATTACACTTAAAAGTTATGTGGTATTTTATTCATTGGATTGAGCTAAAATATAATGGAAATTCTAGTTATAATACATTTTTTATTATTTTAATACGACTTTTTGCAACTAAAATGTTTTAGCTATTAAATAGATTAGTCGCAGTAATTATATATTTAGCAACGAAAAATTTAATCAACAAATGGAACTTTTTCCTGATTAATTTTTTTTTAATTGCTAATTATTTTCCGCGACCCTCAATTGGCAACCAAAGTGGCGACCAAAAAAATTAGTTACGGATAACTTTTGCCGATTAAAAATAAACTTTTGCCGCCTAAATTTTTAGTCGGCAAAAGTATAAATTCCTGTAGTGTAAACATAAAAATAAATATTATAATAAAATAATCACTTTATTCTAATAAATCAAACATTGCTTTAATTTTAGCGTCTATCGCTTCATTTTCCCTTTACTTTCTCACCACAAAAGCGTGGTCAACATGGTCTTCCCATGACAAACCCACGACCATCAACAATGGTGTAATGCACTTGTAAATTAGTCCCTCAAGAGAGAGAGAGAAAGAGAGAGACAATTGAGAGAAATGGCCTAATTGTGCAAGCCAAGGTTGATTTGAGATTCAAGATGTTCATTTTATGTCCCTTGTGGGGTGGATAACCCGACAATTGAGAAAAATGGCCTAATTGTGCAAGTCATGGTTGATTTGAGATTCAAGAGGTTCATTTTATGTCCCTTGTGGGGTGGATAACCCACCACCACATTCCTTGAAAATGATGTTTGATGGATAATTTGCTATGCACCACCCATTTGTTTGGCACCTTACACTCAACTACTTCTCTTTTAACCAAAATACCTTCTTATTAGAAGTCATTTGATTGAAGCATGTTCAAGTTCAAATCATCAATTAGCTGAGTAGTAAATTGTTCAAATTTAATTTGATAATTTAATAAATTTTAAAATGTATATAATTTAATTTGTTAATTTTTTAAACTAATCTTAAAAGAGTTTTTATATCATCTAATGTAACCGAACTTAAGGGAAAGGGATGAGTTAGACCATCTCCAACGGTTCATCAAACCCAGCATCAAATTTAAAATTTGGTGAAAAAGTTACTGTTTGATGCTCCAACAGTTGCACCAAATCGATATCAAAATGAGATTTCACCAAACATTTCATCAAACTGAGAACAGACGAAGCATTTCACCAAATCACTGTTACTGACCGTTGGGGTGATACCAACCGGTTGACCGGCCGGTTGACCAGTAAAAGATTCAAACAGTTCAAAAAAAAGTTCAAACAGTTCAAAAAAAATTCCCTAACCGGTCAACCGGCCGGTCGACCA